TATATATATATATATATATATATATATATATATACTACACACACACACACATATATAGTTCAGTGCATATAAATCATGATGCACGAGTTATAACAGCAGAAACATCTACCATATGTCTACTAAAAACTGGAGCACACGCATCTATCTGTGATTTGAGTTCACATTTATTGTTCAACTCGTGTAACAGAACGGTACACACAGTTACGTAAACCTTAAAACGTAATCAAGCTGTTGGAAATAAGAGTTATTTAGGTATAACAAACTAAAGAAAACAGAAATCTAGTGTTACAGACATATCTCCATCGTTCAGGTTTATTGATCATAATGTTTGAAGAAGAACAATATCAATAACTTAACATCTTTCAGTGAACATCAAACTTGGTAATCCTTGAAACTGAAACTAAGAAGAGGTTCAGGTCTTTACTAGACTAATGTACACAACTAGGTGCTTGTATCTGGGAGAGAAGTCATGAAACTTTCACGGGTCTGACTGCAAGTGTTTACGTGAATGGGCCAATGAGCTTGTTGACAGGAGTGATTGCAGTAGCTTGTGTTCCAACAGCAGTAAAAATGAGCCTCCTTGCTACAGTTAGCACACTAAAACAAAAACCAACAGGTCAGAATTCAAAACAAACATCAGTTGAAACGGAAAACATTAAAATATTTTTCCTTGAGTTCAAAACTTTTAAATAACATGAATTTCTCTTTTATCTGCACCAATTTTGTGTTTTAATTCCTAACAAAAGAAAGGTGAAAATGCTTAAACAAAGACACACAGTGTAATGGTAGACATGCTGTCATTAATGATTTAATAGATTAACTGAATAAATTAAGAGACAAAAACATTTTATATTATGTTTGGTCCTACATTTAAGTTTGTCCAATTGTGACACAGTTTTTCATATTACAGGCTACTTTTTAATATCTGTATCTTTCTTTATTTTTGTAGAATCTTTTGAGAAGTTTTCAGATGATGTATTTAGTACAACATTCAGCAGTCCAATTCTACAAATTACCATGCTTAAGGCCAATTAACATGATTGTTTTTACATGTAAACCACTGTTCAATATGGGTCAAGGTCAATTAACAAGATTGTTTTTACATGTAAACCACTATCCAATAGTGACTAAGGCCAATTAACATGATTGTCTTTTTTACATGTAAACCACTATTCAATATGGCCCAAGGTCAATTAACAAGAATGTTTTTACATGTAAACCACTATCCAATACTGACTAAGGCCAATTAACAAGATTGTTTTTACATGTAAACTACTATCCAATACCGACTAAGGCCAATTAACATGACTGTTGTTTTTTTTACATGTAAACAACTATACAATACTGTCTAAGGCTAGCTAACAAGAATGTTTTTTACATACAAATCACTATCCAATGCTTTACAGTTTTTGGCTACTGTTTTATAATAATTTATCACTTCATTTTGAAAGTGAAAATAGTTTATTTCAACTATGTAGCCAAAAAGGTTTACAAAAATTGTTATTTTCCTTCACAACGTAATTCTTTCTGGTGGAATCTGACTGTTCGTATCATAAATAGTACGATTCATATGTATTTGGGATTAAATAAATTGAATAGTTTTATATCTTATGTACATATATTGCAAACCTTGGTATTTGCCCAAGCATTTGTCTGTCTCCCGTTTGAAAAGCTACCACACAGGAAAACTTTCGAAATGACGGGAGAACAGGCATGAATAGTGTTGATGCAAAAATTAATTTCACACTATCATTCACATTTCAAAATGTGATGTAACTTAAAGAATAAAAACGTAGATTTATGGTACGTTATTGCTGAGTAGCTCTTAGCATGACTGAAATGCTCAACAATTACTTTCTGTGGTGGGAAGTAGTTCAGAGCTTTGGCTCCGAGCGAAACCAAGAGTGCAACGCAATTAATCTTTTTAAAGTTCATGAAATAATTTAAATTCATAGATTAACTTAAACTTTTCCCGTCACCGGGGACGAGTACTTTTGCTTGTTATTATTATATATTTTATGTACTGGCAAGAAAATTTACTTCCAAACACACAGAACTTTATTCTGAAATTAGTGTAATTAGAATCTACCATGGGATGCAGACTTCAGTAACAAACACTATTTACAAGATGATGTTTCATCGACTCTATTTATGCCTGTCATTACTGCCAACAAAAGTTACATTTTTTCAACATACAGACTTCATATGACCACTGCTAAATCCCTTTAAGTAATTTCTGGCTTTTCCTACATTATCTCTTTTTAGTACTGTTTCTTTTCTCTGTAATTTCTACAAGATTTCTCTATGTTATCACTTGCTATGTTGCTTCTGTAGCATTACAATATTTTCAGCTTCCAGATGAATAAGAAACAGGTTTACTAAAAAGCTACTGGTACAGGATCCAAGGAGATTTTCATCATGAATTAAAAATTAAAATATATTTTTACTAAGATACTTTATCTGGCATTCCCAGTGACTTTAACTTAGCTGTTATCTGGGATTACTAAGTTACTAAACAAGAAGTAACTTAAAATTAGTGACTGATTCTACCATATATTAATACAGACATAATCAAATGTTTAATTTCCTGCTATTGGTTTCAACAAATCAGATAAATATAACTTAAATTTCTACAAATCAAAGCTCTCTTTCTATAAAAATTGCATTAAATGTAATTAATACAAACTTAGGTTGACACATTAAAAACTGAATCCAGTCTTTATCATCTATGCTTAGCATAAAAAGCTAAAAATTAGCAAAAAGTTACCATTGTCTATGAATAACATCAAGTTTTCATGCTTATACAGTATGACTATCTATGAATAATAACATCAAGTTTCCATGCTTATACAGTATCACTGTCTATGAATAATAACATCAAGTTTTCATGCTTATACAGTATCTCTGTCTATGAATAATAACATCAAATTTTCATGCTTATACAGTATCACTGTCTATGAATAATAACATCACATTTTCATGCTTATACAGTATCACTGTCTATGAATAATAACATCAAGTTTTCTTGCTTATACAGTATTACTGTCTATGAATAATAACATCAAGTTTTCTTGCTTATACAGTATCACTGTCTATGAATAATAACATCAAATTTTCATGCTTATACAGTATCACTGTCTATGAATAATAACATCAAGTTTTCATGCTTATACAGTATCACTGTCTATGAATAATAACATCAAGTTTTCATGCTTATACAGTATCACTGTCTATGAATAATAACATCAAGTTTTCTTGCTTACCCACTGCTTTTTCTTAGTGGCTTCTATTTCTTTTTCTTTCTCTATCACATGTATTTTCTTTAAATTTTCCACGCACGTTTTTTGTTCTTGTTCCCAACTACTTCGTACTTCCAATAAGGTTAATTCTAAAAAAAGAACATAAAAAGTCAAAAATTAATTCTTCTGTCAAAACGTTTTTAACTTCTGAGTGTAAATCGAAAACTTTCTAGTAACAAAACAGAACATGTTTTAAGTTACAAAAGACGTTTAGCACCTTATCAGTGATCAATTCATTTAGTTTAGTCTCAATCAGAACACAGTATAAAGTTAATTTTACTTCTGTTTACATTAAAAAGAGTAGATGTACCTAGTATGTCCAAATTATATTTTCTATTACTGTACTTAGAACTCCAACTGATTCCTTGGTGAAATACATAAGAATTATAATTTTCCATAAAAAAAATACAACTATATCCCCTTTCACAACACATGTAATAAAGAGACTCAAATGGGCTTTTTTTAATACTTCTATTGAACAGTAACTCTGAATAAATCTCATACAATAAACATATCTAGTTTACAATTTAAGTTTTATTATGGTTGTTATGAGTCTGTTTCTTCCAGTATTAAAATCTCAATGATGATAATTACATGTGATATAATCTTTTTTATCTTGATAACATTAATTATAAACATTTATTCTAACTTCCTACTTTAGATGATTCTATTTTTCACTATATAAGGATTTCTCCTGATATATGTTGTTTCTTAATAGACTACTACTACAATATTTGAGTAAGAAAAACATAGTACTTCTTACAGTACTCAATATAACAAACTACGAAATCAGCTAACGGATATGTTTATAATTTGTACTTAACATTAAAATCCCCTTACACATTTACGGTAATTCTTATTACACAAATAAATCTGGCTGATGATGAGTACTAGCAAGTTTTATAGAATAGTGAAGATAAATCTGATTTTTAAACTAGTGTACGGAACTAGCAGAACAGAAATTGTCTACACGAATGAGCTGAGAAGAGATTCAGTGTGTAAACAATGTACAGATACCTATCAAGAAAACATACACAATTCTGAAACTTTTCTAGAATAACATAATTCAACATATTGTTAAAAAATTCAAAGTTCTTGAACTTGTTTGATTATTCATTTAGTATAACACCAATTCTTCATTTCTCTCTCTATGTTGATAATATGGGGGGCTTCTGACACACATAAAGTTGCCTCAACACTCGAAAATCAGTCCAAATTTCTTCACTGTATTATTTCAGTTCAAATATAAGTTAATAGCAATGTTTCTCCATATAAGCTTAGATTTAGATGCAGCTTTTAACATTCTACACTATTCAATATCTTTTTTTTACCCTACTCTATAGAACAATTTTTGTGAATACTGTATATAAATAAATATGTAATTTAAATAACAATACATAAACCTCTTGTTCAGTTCAGTATTGGTTTTATAACATGTAGTGTTGAATAAAAAAAAAAACTAGTTGTTAAGAAAAAGATCACATTAGCACAGAGGATAATGTTTTCATAATTTAATTACACTACACTGTAAAGATTTCAAGATATTTATAAACTCTTATATGGCAACATGATGTTATATTGCAGCCTATATTTTCAAGATCCCTATCATGAACCACAATAGTGGTTTATAATAGGAATCTCAAGAAATTGCACAAAACCCTAATAGAATGTTTGGGCAAAAAAGCAGCTTAAACAGTAAAGATTCAGTTCAAACAACACTTTAAAACCATTACTATTGACCGCTAAGGCTGTTCACATATAAAAGTGCACAAAACAAGGATGGATGTTAGACTGACAAGGGTAAAGAAAATCTGCTCAAAAAATAGCCCATTTGTAATTCTTCTTATTACTATTCTTTTGCCAGTCTACAACAAAAACGGCTTGGTATATTACACCGAGACCTTTTGCAAAATCAGTGACGGATTTAGGGTGGTTTGGGCCCCCAGGCTATAGAAGAAGAATAGCCCCCCTTCCCATCATACATATTGATCTCTAGTGAATTGAGTCAACTTCAATGTCAATATCATGAAGTGAAGGATATAAATGTGTGAGGATCTTAATGATATACTTAACTTTGTAATGAGGAAACAATATAGACAAACCATAAATGTGTGCAAACTCATTTTATTCACTCCTGAATGATCATGAAGACAACTTGATTAGAACCTTCATGTACCTGTACAAAGCTAGAATTGTCTTTTTCTGGCCTTATTATAATTGAACTTGTCAATGAGTATCAAAAAGTTTAGCTTTCAAAGTATGTCACGTTCTACATTCATTATAGAGAAATTATTTAGTCAGCTTTATCACATTCTACGTTCATTATAGACAGACTTTTTAATCGGCTTTGTCACGTTCTACATTCATTATAGACAGACTGTTTAGTCGGCGCTGTCACGTTCTACATTCATTATAGACAGACTGTTTAGTCGGCGCTGTCACGTTCTACATTCATTATAGACAGACTGTTTAGTCGGCGCTGTCACAGTCTACATTCATTATACAGACTGCTTAGTCGGCTTTGTCACATTCTATTTCATTATAGACAGACTACTTAGTCGGCTTTGTCACATTCTACATTCATTATAGACAGACTGTTTAGTCGGCTCTGTCACGGTCTACATTCATTATACAGACTACTTAGTTGGCTTTGTCACATTCTATGTTCATTATAGACCAACTGTTAAATTGGCTTTGTCACATTCTATGTTCATTACAGACCAACTGTTAAATTGCTTTGTCACGTTCTATGTTCATTATAGACAGACTGTTTGGTCAGCTTTGTCACGTTCTACATTCATTATAGACAGACTAACTTAGTCGGCTTTGTCACATTCTACGTTCATTACAGAATGACTGTTAAGTTGCTTTGTCACGTTCTATGTTTATTATAGACAGACTGTTTAATCAGTATTGTCTTATTCTGTTCCTAGGCTCACTTTTTATTCTTTTCAATTTGAAAACAATCAATGCAGTTTGATACTATCATGGACAAATATATTCTCCACACTATTTCAATGTTGGGAAATGTTTGGATAAGGATGTGTCTATGGAGAAAGAGGAACATTCTTAACTCCACTGATTCTGTTGTTCAGATTGTGTGAATCAACATCGAAACTCTGGAATTGCCAATGTGGGAAAACTGGATCAATTCGTTTTCTAGGTAACAGCATGGAGCCAAAATAGAAGTCTGTAGTTTGAATAAATAATGTCTACAGTATCTCCAGCCTTGTTTGCTTACTTTTCTACGATCCCTATTTGCAGGTTTTTAAATTCCCAATTTTTTTATTTATCTTTTAAATTATTATACGGCAACATGATGTTATATTACAGCCTATATCTAAACCTACTATGATTGTGCTTCATTTCAGCAATTTCTTGATCATGTAGCCATCTCAACTTCTGTATTTCCTGTTCTAGAAAGCTGACACGTTTTGTCAGGCTGTCTACTTGTTCAGCTTTTTCCAACAGTGACTTCAAGTATCATAAGGAAATTAATACAACCATATCTAATTAAAATATTTTCACTGCATTAAATAACAACAAATACATTCTCACTACTAAATAAATTATATAACTGACACTTTAATAAATAAACATCAAAGAATCAAAACTGTTTTCTTTACTAGAGTGCAAGTTCTATTAATAAACACTTGGCAACTTTCCAAGACTAACATTATCTAGGATAGCCAAATACCACCCACAAAGAACAAATACACCAGTTAATGAATTTGTATGAAGGAACAGAGGCAAGAAAAATATTTTATTTACATATTTTTAGGAGTTCTTGCTAGGATTTTCTTTCAAAATCATTCATCCTAGTTTTCAACTTTTCCTTAAAGCAAGTTTCCAGATGCTAGCTAATAATTGCTTCACTATCCCTAGTTAATGAGTAACTTTATAATTTCTGCTTTCATTTTTCCTCACCCTTAATTTCTACTTTATTTTCTTTTTTCAGTTATTTCCATTTGCAGTGTGTATTTCAGTTGATAAATTCAAGGCTAAATTGCAAAAGAAATTAGAGAATCAGACAGATAAAAATGACACAATGTAATGTCCAAAGCAGAGTACAGTACTTCTGTAACAAGTGTTAGTTTTGAAGCAACAAATTGAATAGTAGTCTGCATAACATCAATCTTGCTATACCATAACTTTGTACTAAAGTAACGAATATAAAACATGAAGTGTTTAACAGAAAAGTAACTAAAATAAACTACCCTTTCTTAAGGAAGGTTACTTCTTCTGCTTAATACTCTTTCTGGTTATTTCTTTTGTGATAAACGTCACTCGCATGACTTTGAAATTGAAACATCTTATGCATACATTTATCCCAGTTGATAAGAAGGCTTGTTTTCTAGAAGCTCATTGAATGTGGGTGATCAAACCCTGAAAGATGATGGGTGAAGGCATCACTTAAGATAAAACAGTATGTATGTACACTATTAGCCATGTGACTGAAGTCCAACTTTAAGCTCACATTTAATGAAGGGTGTAGTATTTTTCCTTTCTAATATCAATACGCTTCCTCCATCAAAAGCTATGAAACGTTTTATACAGATATAATGAAGATGTAATTAAATACGTTTAAACTTGGTTAATTTATTTACAAATACTTACCCAGCACAACACCTAAAGTACAAATGTTTATTTTAATATCACTGTGTACATTATTTACAGCAATTACAAACTATATAACACTGTCTGTGAAGTTCTTAGGTCTTAACATCCTGATATGTTCCATTCTACGTATTATGCACATAGAAATATGTTCACTTTGATCACTTGCCTTTTGTTCAACTTCATCTGTTGTCACACTTGAGATTTTATTCACCAGTAGTTGTGGGCTTGAGATACAGCTTATGATGTTATACTATATAGTCTGTACCATTAAGTATTACGTAAATTTTAAAACTATTTACTTCAGTTTATAAGAAATATAATTTTTACGTTCTTTAAATGTGAAGTGCAGGATAGGATCAGATAACCAGTGCAAAAAAAACTAAAAAAACCCTTGATTTCAATGACATTTCAGCTTTAATATCATAGTTACATCTCCATAAAAGCTTATCATTCATATTTTACTAATGAAAAATGGTAGAAAGTTAAAAAAATATGTTTGGGGAAATATGAGATTTACTTTACTTTACCTGGTTAATTCTTTAAATTTGCAGTGGAGAATGTAATCCCTGAGACCTCAGCTACAGCATAGTAACAAGATTGATGTTGCTTGAAATTAGAGCAGTTTTTACTGATATTAATATCAAAACAAGCAAGTATCCTAATTGATACTCAGCTCTCAGTGATATAGTGTTATACTTTCCAATACAAATTTATTCAATATGTATGTGTGTGTGTGTGTGTGTGTGTTGTTTTTGATATATATATATATATATATATATATATATATATATACAACAACACACACA